TTCCCTAAGACTTACAGTGACTACAGAAACTATATCTCTTGAGTTCTAGAGTATGCTCACTGGGCAGGATTTTGACAGTGAGTCTGAAAGAAGGGAGAGTAACATGCATATAATGCTGAGAATATAATGCAGGTTTGATTGACCACTTTCTGACTCCTCTCTTGAACCAGAATTATATATCTTTATTTAAAAAAAAAAAAACTGCCTAAATGGTAGCTCTATTAGGAAGTCGTTGTGTAAGTTGTTAACTTTTATCTTACCATTGTGTTTTAATTTGAGTCAAGGTGGCTTATAGTTCTAGACTTACGAGGCTCTGCTCTCCAAAGAGGAGCAGGGGCCCTTTAAGCTAACAAGGCTGTAAGGATGTCACTTAGTGGTGACTCAAACCATCTCCAGCCATAAGATCTGCATCATCAAGGGATTGTGAGAGGTAAGAAAGAAGGATCCATGATATAGAATTAGTACAGTTACTTGGTAGTCTGTTGATGTGCAAATTTTCTCACCAATAGCTCCCCTTTGTGGGAATGATTTTATTAAATCAGACCAGATATGCTAAACAGTGAAGGGGTTCTGATTTGCAAATCATCTACCTCTTCTTCTCTGTTCATCACCCCACCTCACTGCTAAACCCAACAAAGAGCAGCAAGGAGGATATGAGAGAGCCAACCAAGCCACACACAGAAGAGTTGACTATACATCTCTACCTGAAATTTAAGAAGATCCATACATATGGATAATATATTTGAGATGACAATTCATATAACATATAAATAATCATTTTTCAAAAGTTTTTTTGAAAGTGCAAACTCTTCTTGTGTGTGGGGGGGGAAGATGTACCAAAAAAAAAAAAAATGACCTAACACAGTTTCCAGACTTATTTTCCATTGTTACCATGTGCTCTATTCATACTAACCTACTTGCCATTTCTCAAACTTTCCTGATCCTTCTGGTCAAGACATACTAATTCTTCCAGAATGCCCTACATGGACTCTCATCTATCAAGACTCACCTCATTCTTCAGTGACCGAACTCAAATGCTCCCTCTTCAGATAAATCTTCCGCAGTCTAACTACACTGAAGTGATCACTCAGTCTTACTCATGGAGCCCTGACTATGAGTGCTTATCACATACTACTTAATCTCATCATATGTGTGCCTGTCTTGCCTTCTTATGAGCAATATCCATGCCCTTTTTATACGTTTTCCCCTAAATATCTTTTGGCCATGCTACGCAGCATGTGGGATCTTATTTCCCTGACCAGGGATCGAACCCACGCCCCCTACACTGGAAGCACAGAGTCTTACCACTGGACCTCCAAGGAAGTCCCAATATCTTATATTTTTAGTAAACAGTTTACATCTACATACATATTATCTCACATACATCTTACTCATCCTGTACCTTTTACTACCCTGGGCAAATTACTCATGATCTCTCTGAACACTGGCTTTCTTAACCATAAGATAAAAAAATTAATTGTATGTATCTCACAAAGTCATGAGGATCTAATGAGATAATGCATGTAAAAAAGCCATAAACCTTCTATCTTACTACTGTTATTATTACTGCAACATTATTATTTTATAGAGCTATATATTAAAATATTTTATGAAATTACACTTAGAATTCATGGAAATTTGCTGTTGCATAGATCATGAAAAGAATATGTTGTTTTTAGTTTATTTTACTCTGTCATATACACACAAAAAATAAACAGGCACCTCTAATTTCAGTTTGACATCTTCTTTTGTCTTAGAAATGTAGTCTAAACTAGAGATGGCCAACTCCACTCCACTGCAATACTGCCCATAAATAACCAACCTGAAAGGAAAAGAGAGAGAGGAAAAAATCTGAGGACAAAAAGGCAAGAATAAAGTGGAAGAGGAAATTCACGTATTTAATACCACAGTTAGGCATAACCAAAGCAAATCTCACTCGTCCTGCGCCTCTTACTTTCCAGGTAACCCTGGGCAGATTACTCATAATTTCTCTGAACCTCAGCTTTCTCATTTCTTTTTAAGACACACCACCCATACAGTTATAGAATGAAAGTCACTCATGTTTACGGTATTAAAAATGACAATTTTTAATTTCCAAATTTGAATGGGATTGATTCCATGCATGTTTTTATAGCAGGTAGATTTTACAAACTGGCTTAATGACTGTTAATATCATTTGAGTGCATATAATAATCAAAAACAAAATTAAAAACTTCTCTTCAAGTTTCTATTAGAGATCAACTTTTACACTGTTCACGCTCACTCAGGAACAGTTTTATTTTCTACTACTGTTTCACTGTAATCACTACTTACAACTCTACTCATTAATAAACCTCCTACTCCCTCCCCCTTTTTAATTAAGAAAAATACATTATCTGAAAAGTGGGAATGAGAGGGCTGAGCTGTGCTGGCTGGGAGATAAGTCATATTGCATGGGGTCTGAACCTGCTTTCAGGAAGGGTATCTCTGGGGTAATACTGATTTTTGCAAAGAGCCCGGTTAAGTTATTGTTTCTTTTAGCCCTCTACTGGAAAACAAAAAAACTACTATATTAATATTTATCTAATGTTGATGTAAGCAATTAATTAGCTACTTCTTAGTACTAGGAACTATAGTGCTTGATTTTAAAAGAGAGCGCTATATTTTAAGCAAAATTCCTTGGTACTTCTAACAATTCACGTGAATTGTTCAGAAGATTTTTTTCAAATTCAGAAAGGGAAACTGACTTTGTCTGTGAATGTAATACTCCAAAATACAGAATTATAAGGTATTCGAGTTGGAAAAAGCACTACGTACCAGATAATCTACCCCTAACATTTACAGATGGAAAAAAGGAGGCTCAGAGTGTTAAAATGACTTCCTGAAGTCTACAGGACTCAAGAGTGACAGAACCTGCACCTTCTGGTTTTCAATGCAAAAGTCTGAACCCTTCTTTTTTTGTTTTTCTTTTATTTTTTTCCCTGATACACATATAGAGATCAACCACCACACAGAAATTAACTGTCCCATGTTCTAATTACTGCCCAGACAGTATCTTAATGAACCATAGTAATAGCTACTTATGAGCAATTTTAATACTAACCCTCACTATAATTACAAACTAATAGCCACAAAATTTAAAATCCAAAAGTTACCTTTCCTTGTAGTTAATGAAAACTTGATACAAGTTCTGGTCGTTTTTATTTACAATGGAATCATGAATCTCTTGCATTAGGTTCCGATGAACTTTTACAAGTTCCTTAGAAAAGAAAACAGTGGCAAAGCAAATTAGGAATCAGAACCAAAAATATCACCCAGAGCCCAGCATCCCTATTGCTGCCAGACTTGCCATTCAAGGATATGCTGAATACCCTCAATATATAAACTTGCTACCATCAGTAAAGAGGAGAAAAAGGAGGGGAAAGAAGAGAAAAGAGAGAAGGGGAAGGGGAAGGGGAGGGGAGGGAGAGAGGGGGAGAAAGACAGGCCATGTTCATGGAAAATAGCAATTTCAGATCTGACTTGAAATGTCAGTGTCCTGTAGAAAAAGAAATTCTCTCTCTAGTTATTAAAGGGTAATTTATTCCTTGTATAAAAATATGTACAGTTCAGTTTCATCTTATAATCACTTTAAATTTTTAAATAAAACTATCCAAGTGCTTAATGTTTTACTGACAGGATAAAGTAATGATTCATGTCCTCGAGACATAAAAATATAGATTTGTACTTTGGTCAATTAGTGGTGTCCTGGAGCTAAGCTAACAATAATCAGACTAAATTACTTGAAACCAGCCAACTAATGTCATAAATAAGCAGCAAATAAATTGTAGTAGGCAGTTTACTAGGGCAACTCAAAAGACAGAATTTCACATTTTTCCTGATAAGCAAGTAATTTTCGGTCAGACAGTAAAATACATGTCACAGCCAGGAAATGAGGAGATCTGAATCAAGGTGCCAATTCTCCCATGGAGAATCTCTTCCCATGTACCTTGGAGCACACATTGATGCAGGGCATGCCCTTCCTTAGGAGGTGTTAAGCGAAACATGAATATGTTGGCCCTGTCACTCTTCTGAGGAGCATGGAAAAGCTGTTAGAATAAGGACTGTCAAATGGGTTCTAAGTTACAGTGAGCGTATTTAGGTGGTTTAAGATCCTCATCTTCCTAAAATGTGTGGTTTGTTTTATGCTAAATATTCATTTGATATTGGGATCTTTTTCTTCCTTCTACATTACAAATCAATAAGAATGTCTTCATTTGGCCAAAATCAGGAACAAGGACAACATGCCATACCTAAACTGGTGCAAAGCAACACTAAATATAAAGGAATCAAAATATTAGAGACTTTACAGGTGATACAAGCAAGCCGGTACATAAAAGCTTATATACTGTATATAAGAGCTACATATTAAAACTGAGGGACTACCCTGGTGGTCTAGTGGGTAAGACTCTGCACTCCAAATGCAGGGGGCCCGGGTCTGACCCCTGGTCGGGGAACTAGAGCCCGCATGCAGGCCGCAACTAGAAGTCCGCATGCCGCAACGAAGGTCCCGTTTGCTGCAACAAAGGTCCCGTGTGCCACAACGAAGACCCAGCACAGCCAAAATAAATAAATTAAATAAATAAATAAATATTAAAGGGAAAATTAAAAAAATTGAGGCCAGTTCTAGAGGTCTAAGAACTTGAATCTTGCCTAGAAAGACCTTACATGGTATTGCATTTGGCTTGCCTCTATGCTTTTGGGTAAATGTCCTTTTACGACTGTCAGATAATAAGGTACCCTGAAATTTGAAATGCTATGTAAATGTGAAGAAAAGCTCCTCACATCTTACCATTAAAATAGACTGTTATATCGGGCTTCCCTGGTGGCGCGGTGGTTAAAAATCCGCCTGTCAATGCAGGGGACACAGGTTCGAGCCCTGGTCCAGGAAGATCAGGGGACACAGGTTCGAGCCCTGGTCCAGGAAGATCCCACATGCTGCGGAGCAACTAAGCCCATGTGCCACAACTACTGAGCCTGCGCTCTAGAGCCTGCAAGCCACAACTACTGAGCCCATGTGCCACAAGTACTGAAGCCCGTGCGCCTAGAGCCCGTGCTCCGCAACAAGAGAAGCCACCACAATGAGAAGCCTGGACACCGCAACAAAGAGTAGCCCCCACTCGACACAACTAGAGAAGGTCCACGCAGCAACAAAAACCCAACACAACCATAAATAAATAAATTTATTTATTAAAAAAATAAAAGACTGTTATATCATAAAGAAGCAGTGTATTTCAGAAATGGGAGTTTAGGCTGATGCAACCAGAAGCATAAAACACCAGAAAGCAGAGGCCAAGGAAGTGTAGGGATGGAGGGAAGTGAAGGAGACAGATGGAGCCAGGACAGTGTCTGTAAGATGGGGTTGGGGGGCTGAAAGAACAATAGAGCAGGGAGTGGGGCAGAAGGGGATTCCCACAAGAGAAAGAGACCGTAACACCAGGGATTAACTGAGACTACCTTGTTGTGACAAGCAGTTAAGTATAATACATCAACCTTATCCTTTTGCGTTCAGCATACATTCTGACTTTCGGTTGACAATATGACTTACTAGTTATTTCCAGAAAATAAGACTATAAGAACTCAGGAGACAGAAAATTGGGTTAAAATTCTTTAAAAATACAATAGAATGTTCAAATAGGGGCCCAATAAGAAAATGAGGATTTTATAGAAGTGTACCACAATTTTAGCTAGCATGTTTTTACTTACAGGAATGTTGATGAATACTGAATCAAATTCAGCTGCTGTCAGAAATCTTTTTAATGGTGCCATGAAATACTACCAGGAGAGAAGAGAGGGGTAATAATTAAGCACAACTTATCCTAATCTATATAATAGTTTTTCACCAATGAGCAATAAATATTACTGAAAGTTAATCAGTATTATGAATACCAAGAAAAAAGCAGAAACTATTTTCTCTACCGTAAAGATTCTATATTTGAACAGAGATATAAAGACATAAATACAAGTTAATACATTTAAAATATAAAATAAAAGATTTGGGCTATAAATCCTTCTGAAAGTAAGAAAAAAAAGAAGAGAGAACACCACTGGCCGAACTGGCAAAAAATGGCAACCTTCTGGAGATATGTTTGAGGACTAATTCAAAACATCCCTCAAATGCTCTGTGAAGATTCTAGATCCCTGAGATCAATAATTTGCATATACAATTTATGGATCATTCCCCTTCATTCTTTGAGAATTTTAGTTCCTGGTCTACCATATCTCTGTCCATTACTACTCCCATCTTCAGTTTTGGTCGTATCAGTATCTGTGCAGATGGTCCTTCCAATAGCCTGGCCTCTCGGTTCCTCGTATTCCAATAATCTGTGCCCCATCCTAGCTCAGGTCCTCTTGTGGTCATAGACCAAGACCCTGTCATTACCAACAACTGCATATGCTCCATAGAATTAAGTTGAAGCAAGCAAGTCTCTGACCTCTACCCTCCTACCTTTACAGCTCATTTCTCCAAGGACTTCTCCAACCCACTGGGTCTGCCAATCCCCTGACCATCTCACATCCCTCATGTCCTCACTTCCCTTCTTACCCAGTTTACATTCCACGAGCCATCATCAGAATCACTGCCCTACAAGTACCCTTACCCTCTCTTCTTTCATTCTGGAAAAATGAAAACCCTGGTTAAATCTAGCTTGCCATATATTTTGTGCCTATACCTAAGAAGTTAAACAGAAGCTACACTGATAGCTAATTAAAAATATAATCACAAAACCTAAATGAGCCTGTAATGCTACATAATCCTAGTACACTTACCCTCTCGTTCTCCTAAACAACTCTTCCACGCCTTCATCTCTCTTTTTAAACTTCCAAAACTTTCTCCTGGTTCTCGTTCTCCTATAGCCTCCAAATGTGGAAGTCACCAGAGGTGACCTCAAACCTCTTCTCTATCAACATCCATTCCCTTGGTGATTCATCTAGTGCCATGGCTTTAAACACCACTGCATAATGATAATGGCCCAATCTATACATCCGTTCAGCCTTTCCCCTGAATGTCAGACTCATACATCTAACTTCCTCCTCAATACATCCCCTTGGAAGCTAATAGGTATATTGCAAATTTAGTAAAGTCCCAACAGACTCGTGATTCCTACACCTGTCCTTCTCCATCTCAGTCACCATCTTCACCATTTACACAGTTACTCATGCTAAAAACCTAGCATTGTTAGGAATTCCCACTGGGCAGTCCAGTGGTTAGGACTCTTGCACTTCCACTGCTGTGGGTCCAGGGTTCAATCCCTGGTCAGGGAACTAAGATCCCACAAACCAAGCCATGTGACATGGCCAAAAAAAAAAAAAAAAAACAAGAACAGAAAACCTAGAATTCTTGATTGCTCTTTTCCACACATCCTTTACCTAATCCATCATCAAATCCACTTGGCTCTACTTTCAAAATTTATTCAGAATCTGACCACTCCCTGCCACCTCAACCAATACCACCATTTTCCATTAACTTAATTATTGCGATATCCTCCTAACATTTTTCTCAATTTCCACCCTTGCCTGACAAGAGTCAGAATGATCTGTTAAAAACTTACATTAGATCCCATCACTTCTTCTACTCAAAACGCTCTAGCTTTTAGCCAGGTGCTCCTATATGCCCCCTGTGACCTGGGGGCTCACCAAGTCTCCGATCTCACTGCTCCCCTGCACTCATTCTGCTTCAGCCTCCTGGGCTGTTGCTGTTCCCTGAAGCACACTGAACACTGTCCCACGTGAGGGCCTTTCTCCCAGGGATCGTCCACTCTGGGATATTCGCATGGCTTACTCCCTCCATTCACAAAGCTGTCTGCTTAAATACGATCTGACCACAGAGGCCTTCCATTACCACTCTATATAAGGTAACACCAGCCTCCCCCCATCACTCACTACCCCCTTCCTCTGCCTTATTTTTCTTCAGAGAATTTATCACCATCTGGCATACTCATTTGCTTAAATTATAAACCCTCCCATTAGAATGTCATGAGAACTAGAGCTTTGTTGTGTTGACTGCTATACCCCCAGACCCTAGAATAGTGCCATTCACATACTAAGAAATCAATAAATCATTGTGGGATGAGTAAATCTGCTTTGAGATCTTTAAACCCAAAGTTCTGCTGAAAAATCAGAATATGCAGACACTGTAGAAACACTGAGCCTAAGGTATTAGCAAGGCAGTATTGGAGCATCAAGAATGATACCTGATGACTTACTTTTTCTATCGACTCCAATGTTTCTGTATATTTTTCTTCTGTCTGCTTGATTTCTGCTAGGCAGCAACTTCGTATGTCATTTTCTGGACATTTCTACAATTAGAATTTTCAAATTAACATTATTTAATCAAATTCATGTATTAATCTTTCCAGTAGAAGATAGAAAGAAATAAAAATTATTGATTTTTTTAAGTGTTCCATTCTAATAAAACACATAACTAAAAGATACATTTAACTGCATTTGTGAACGATCTTTGCTTTTTAAAAGAATTTGAACAATGTAAATGAAAAAGTTTTAGATAATTAAAAATATACTTTTGAGTATACTCTCTTTAAACTGAAACATCTATTTTATTATAAATGTTACTGAATCTGGAAACATCATGAACGGTCTTATACAGTTTTCTTAAAGTACAGCATACTTTACAAGTGCTGTAGAAATAACTGCAAAAATCATAAAAGGATATTTGGTAAGTAAAAAATCTTAAAATATTTTTTCAAGAGTTAACATCTTGGTGTTTGGCTCTCTTACTATTTAAGACTCTAGGCAGTAGAACATAGTAGGATGATCAAAGTTTGGGGGATCAGATAGAATTTGGTTCAAGAACCAGTTTTGCTGTTATTAGTTTGTCTAATCTCTCTGTGTCTCGGCTTTCTCATCTATAAAACAGAATTACAGTACCCAGCCCAAGGAGCTGTAAATGAGATAACCTGTGTAGCGTGCTTAACACCCTGAGAAATGCACAAGAAGGGCCCTGTGCGTTCAATCATCATCACTGCTTACCGTGGGCCACATGAACAGCCCAGCACCGTAAGCTCAGTGAAGACGGTCCTTGGGAAAGACAATGAAGAATTTGCTGGTGCCCAAAGCAGTTGATAATTAAAGGGGTATGGACGATACTCCATCACCTAAAATGATACTCCATCACCTAAAATACTCTTAAACTGCTGCCGCAGGCGTCAGTGCAGTGGGTTAAAGCACACATTCATGACGTTTACTGAACACAGGCCAGCCAACTTGTTTCCATCCCACAGAAGCTACTGTCCCCTATGTGGGCACCGGACAACCCGCCGGCCCTTTATTAAATGCAAGAGGTCCAAGAGAGCTGAGCGAATTCATCAAAGCACCAAAAAAACCTAAAGTACCACCCAGCTGATGAAGAAAGTCTTTTGTGTAAAGAAAATGTTAATTAAAGCATAAGCAACTGACCTTATTTTTCATTTCAAATTATATATGAGAAAATCATTCAAAGTAATTCTGAATGTTTTAGATATTTTAATGCAGATAAAGCTTTGTGGGCTGCTGTTGACTATAGCAATATCTGCAACTAAGTTTATAAAATAGTAAAAAATGCTAGGAGACCTATAATGAAACAAACAACAACAACAAAAATATCTCATATCAACCCCTAACAAACAGGAAGAAATATTCTTTAACCTATACTTTATGCCACATCAAACTTAAAGTAGATTTACCTGCTTTGCAAGAGATTTCCTTTCATAACAATATAATTTCATGATCCCCTGAAATTATGTTCTATGGCCACTCTGCAATTATTTAGCTGTGTGGAATGCCGTTTACTTGTTAGACTTGATTTTCTTACTAGTAAACTGAGAGATTTAGACCAGAGATTTCCTATGGTTGTTCTGAACTGTAAAACGTCATGTTTACATGTCTCCAAATGCAGCAACATGTCATGGTTATACAGTTACAAGCAAGTAAACATAAAAAAGAAAACAAACAAAACAAAGATCCCAGCAGAAGTTACATAAATAATTATTGTATTAATTATAATTATGCTATTATTTTATAATTATAATTAATATACTTATAACATAAATATTTATTTCATTTTATTAATTATAATTATTGTATTCATTAGTCTTTCAAATAATCACTTTCCTAATAAAATACTCAGAATAACAAGTCATGGTTATAGAGTTGTAAGCAAGATAGAAAAGAAAAACAAACAACGATCCCAGCAGAAGTTACATAAATAATTATAACTATTGTATTAATTATAATTATGCTATTATTTTATAATTAGTATAATTAAAACATAAATATTATTTTATTTTATTAATTATTATATTAATGAGTCCTTCCAATAATCACTTTCCTAATAAGATACTCAGAGTAACTTAAAAAACAGGCAAGTCAAAGTCCTACAGGCTGATGCGCCTCCTCTGCCTTCATCAAGTCCTCGTACACTTCGCCACCTTCGTCTTCCCCATAAACACAGTCGTACAGACCCTCTTCATCTTCCACACGGGTTTCACTGAAGCAAAAGGTATAACATTAACGTCATTTTCTAGCATGCAGTAAATACAGTAGCTAGAAATAGCTTACTGGATTTTAGCAGAAAATCCAGAGAGCAAATCAAATACAGTGGAAAGAGTCAAAGGTTTACATTACAGCTCTGCCCCTCCTAATAAGAACAATGACAAACGACAACCACAGAATCTGACAACGATGGCAGTGCCCTAACCTTCACTGGGCATTTACTACGCCTCTCTGCATGGATCATCTTACCTGGTTTGCCCAGGTCCAGCATTAATTGTGTTATCAGGTAGGCACTGTTGTTTGGCCAATTAGAGTGACAAGGACTTTGAGAGAACAAAATGTTCTTTGACTTGCCCAGGATAACACAGCTAGTCAGACAGCAGAGCCAGGATTTAAAACCCAGCCTGTCTCACACACTGAGTGTTTTAACTGCTCTATCATACTACCTCCCATTTTTCATATGTCAAGACCTCAGTTTCATTACCTGTATTAAAGGGTATAATATGGAGAAGACACGGGAGTTGGGGAGGACCTAATATGTTATAAATAATCTTTATAAATCAAAAATTTCTGCTGATTATAACTGTCAATATCTAATGCAATGGTTTTCAAACCATGTTCCTTCAAGGCCACTCAGAGGGTACCCACAGGTTTGATTCTGTCAGATTTTGCTTTTATCTGTTCTATTTGTATTTTGCTTAAAGAAATGGTCCCAAGGCCACAAGACATTTTTAAAAGCCATTGAAATTCTTCTGCTGGTCTCCTGGCAGTAGAAAATAATCCCTATTTCTTTTTTAACATCTTCATTGGAGTATAATTGCTTTACAATGGTGTGTTAGCTTCCGCTTTATAACAAAGTGAATAGGTTTACAATCTCAAATGAAGGGTTAGGGAAAG